TACCCGCCATTTTTCGATAGAATCACTAGGAAACTGCCGGCGGGCGGATCAGTACCCCGGTACCACCGCGGGCCGCCGCCGTTTCGCCCGACTCTCTCACGCACCTCCGAAATTCCAGTCGTCGCCTCTTGGCTGGTCGATGGTCGGCCATATCCGGCGAAAAACGGACCAATTAAGGGGTCCCGAGGCTGAGGACACGGGAATCTATGTCGCGGGACACTCGAGCGTTGCGACAGGAATCGTGGAAGGGTGTAGAATCGGTGGTACGATCGACGTTGACAGTTAATCACCGGGGAAAAAGTGACTGCGAGGAGCAACGGGATCGGAGGTTAGGGAGCGAAGGACGGATCCTGGAAGAGGTCCCACTGATTGGAGGGTTAAGCTGTCACAATGGGGAATTAGAAAGTAACCGTTAGCGGACTTACGTGCTCGATGGTGGGCAGATGGGCCGTGACTGACACCCTCGGTGCCGCCACGCGCCCCTCGCGCTCCCTTTCCCCCCTCCCTGCCGACTACGCGATTTTCAGGACAACGCGCAGGCCCGAAGCCCCGCACGACCGCCACGATCAGAGCTTCTCCGGAGCTTGTCCCGACCCCCGAGAGAGCATCATCCGTGTCGGCCGACCCAACGAACCGACGACCAATGTGCTCTAACGTGCACCTTCCGCGTTTACCCCGTTCGCCATCGTGCCCCGTCAAGGGTGAACGTCTTTTCATTTTGAGCTTTGCCGGCCTGCGAGCTTAGCTTCCAGTTTTTCGATGAGGATTCTTCGAGTTCTCTTCGAGATTTCAGGTTGTCTAGGATGTTTCCGTTTAGCGTTTCTTGATGCTTTACAGATCATCAGGTATTTGTAGATGATGATGGAGTTGTATCGACGTTGTGTGTAGTCTATTTTGTATTGAATCTATTTCGTATTGAGTCTATCGAGTATCGAATCTATTTCATATTGAGTCTCTGTCGAGTATTGAATGTATTTGTATTGGATGTACCTCATGTTGAGACTATTTCATTATTTTGAGCATTGCCGGCCTGCGAGCTTCGCTTCCAGTTTTTCGATGAGGATTCTTCGAGTTCTCTTCGAGATTTCAGGTTGTCTATGATGCTTCCATTCAACGTTTCTCGATGCTTTACAGATCATCAGGTATTTGTAGATGATGTTGGAGTTATATCCACGTCGTGTGTAGTCTATTTTGTATTGAATCTATTTCGGATTGAGTCCATCGAGTATCGAATCTATTTCATATTGAGTCTCTATCGAGTATTGAATCTATTTGTATTCGACGTATCTCATGTTGAGACTATTTCATATGGAATTTAATGTTGCATCGAGGCTGTCTCGTTGAGCTCGTAGATTCTTGATGACGCCGCGATGCAAGGAAGGATTGTTCCATACACAGCTACTTTTCGATTAACCGACCGTGTTCAAAGGATAACGTCCCTCTCGGAGGGCATTTTTCTTCGTTCAGCTCCCTCCTAATTAACCGATTGTATTCAGACACGGAATATTTGCGGAGGAGATGCGAGCATTTCGCGAAAGCCGTTCCCAGTGCGTGCTTTACGCCGCGCGGTTTCGGTGCTCACCGAAATTAGGAGGAACTGGCTCGCAGCGCTCGCGGTTGCAAACTTTTCCTCGACGCTCCCACTGCGCCCGACAATTATTTAATTGCTACGCTGGAATCTAGTTACGATGTTATTGCATTTCCACCGGAAACGCGTCGCTGGGACCGGGTACACCTACCAACCGATCGATCGGCGCGGAACCAACGGCTGTCGTTCGGCTGGCCGAAAAATCCTGCTGGGTTTTTTTCGAATCGTCGAACGAGATGCTTTACTCTACAGGATGAAACTCCCCGCGTTCCTGTAACACGCGCGCGAACTTTTCAAAGCACGGTATCGCTTACTCGATGAGAACATTTGGACGTTTTAATGGAAAAGATCGGAGAGCGTGTTCGAATACCGACGAGACCGCCGTTGAACTATATTCGAAGCGATCACCGTTATTTCAAGGTTCCTCGTCGAGCGAACTTGAGTTTTTCCAAAGGATTTCCCAATAGTTCGAGCATCGAGGAAAAACTGGATGTCTCTTTGATCGATCCGACGGTTCCTCCGCGAGAATCACGTTTCATGGGCCCACTGGAGCGGCGTACTTGACCGTGCTCTCGTTTCTCGATTAGCCCCTGCTCGAAATCCTAATTTCCCCGAAGTATGGCGCTGACAGTCACTATACGGTTTAGCGTGCCGCTCGGCGAGCACGTTAACATAGTCGCGAGCTAATGGGTCGCATGCGGCCGATCACAGAGGAGGTTCGCGCGCAGGAGAGCACAGACACGGCGGATATCGATCGAGAATCCACGCGAAATTCGGGAGTAATTAAAAAGTTCTAGTCGACGGGGGTCGGGTAAAAAACGGGAAAGAAACTCGAGGAGGGAGTTCAGCGAGCGCTCGGCCCGGGGTTGCGATATTTGCAGCTTTCGAATTTCTCCGTGGTGCCCTTGCCAACTTTAATTACTGTTACCAATCAACAACGCCGCGCCCCGTCCTCGACTAAATCCACGTAAGCGGCCCGGATTGTGTATGACTAAGGACCTCGACGTTCTCGGGAATTATGGCGTCCCGGAATTTTCCTTCGCTGCTAGCGGAGCTGATTATTATAATTATTAACGCTAAAACTACCGAGCAGTTCGATTAAGTTTTTCGAATTTCTCTTCGGGAACTTTGAAATTCTATCTACTGAGAATCCAATTGATTTACGATTCAGTTTTCGTATCGCTAAATCAATTTCAATAATAATTTCGCAGAGAAATATCTGGTACCTAATAATTGCAAGAAGATCAGGATTGGATCAATCAGATCAGCAGTTTTTTGCAAATATTGTTAACCCTTTGCACTCTATAGATTCCACTACTATAATGTAAATTTCGTCCATAAACGGAAAATCAAAGATCTAAGCGAAGCTATGACATTTTTCAATTTTCGATACGGCTGCTACACAAATTGCTCCGAGCTGCTGATAAATTTCAGAATCAACTGCAGCGCAGACTGAAATCATTTCCACGTAGTCCCCATTTTACGATCAACTAATTCCATTGTCTCTAATTCACTAGTAATTACTCATAGAAACAGCTATCTTTTCAATAATTGCAAAGAAGACCGGTAGTTTTACTGTTGACACATTGGTATTGGTAACGAGGAATCTCGTTTTTATATAAAGACACTTAACCCCTTGTCCTACAACGAGTGAGACTCGTGGTGAAGATTCTCAACATGATTCAACAAATATATATATATTACTCAATCCATTCGAATGCAAAGTAAATATTATTTCTATGTAACTGACTATTATACTTAAAAAGAAATAGGAATAACATATGCTTAGAATTCTTCTATTTTTCCAATAAATTATTAATGACAAAGTGGCCGTATCGATCAGAGTTGTGAAAGGAATCATAGGCCAAGGGGTTAACTATGCAATTTTACTGATTACCACAGTATTTAAAAAAATATTAAATTCGATTCCACTTGACTATCTATTTAAAATATACTAAATAACAATATAATATCTAAGTTTCTGTATATACAGAGATATACATAGATCTCACTGAAAATTGCCATCCGCACGATTCAGTTTTCCGAAGATCTACGCAATCTGTTAAGAAAACACACGTGAAATTATCCAACAATAATAGAGAATCGGGAATGGTTTCATTGAAACTTCTCTATGAGAAATAACAGCCGCATAGGTAGCAGTCCGACGAGACGCAGCCTTTGTTTGCGCCGTTCGCGGAATACAATTTACCGGAGCCAGTGCGAGCGCCGTTCGGTCCCAAAGCAAAGGAAACGTCGGTGCGGTTTTCATCGCGCGATCGGCGAGGCTTGTTTTCAAGGGACATCACCGAAGAAAAAGGCGTATAGAAAATCGGTGTATCGGCTGTCAAAGAGCGGACTGTCGCGCGCGCTGACTGTCTTCCCGCAGCGGCGCAGCGTTCGCGAAACTTCCTTTGGAAACTATTGACAGCTGCCAGCGGCGCGTTCGGTTGACGTGCATTACAGGAACAACTTCGAAGCGGCCGCGGAGCCTTCCAATGCCATTATTCCCCGACGCGAAATGAAATATCTCGCGATTCCCTTTTACATCGACAATGGCCGTGGGAAAAACAAGCGGGGGCCTCGCCTCAATGCTGAACGGTCTATCGAGACGTCTGCGTGCATTTTCGCCCGGCCGATCGATGGGCCATCCGAAACTTCAGCGTTCCGAGTCCTTGCGCCGGGTCCCTGTACCAGGATTCACCGATTAGATCGGATTTAGACCCGGGCGAATGCAATTTGGACCTTGGAGAGGACCAACATGCTCGAATCTAATTTAGACACCTCGGAATTTCAACTAGACACGATTCAGATTGACCGACGGTTCTCTCGAATGAATATCGAACTTTCGGCGAACCAGACGATTCGAGTCGTTAGAATAAACGGGATTCTTTGGAATGATTAATCGCGAAGATCGCCGGACCTATCGTTGACCTGTTCCACTTGGAGAGAAAAGTCAGGGTACAACGAAACCGAGGCTCCAGCCGCGAGTTTAGTCGGTTTCCAATTAGCCGGCGATTAAACGTTGCCAAAGCTGGCAACCGGCCTCCGTTCGGCTTCGAGTTTCGCCGCGGTTACGTTGGATTCACGGGACCAGCGCGAGTTATTCGATTTCCTAAGCGACGCGTCTCGCGTAGGACTCCTAACTCCAATCGCATAGGAACGACGATGTTCCTCGTGCTGCCTCGTCTCGGCTAACGAACATTCCAGTGAAATAATACTCTCCGGAATATAGACACGTTGGCAAAAGAACACTGCCGAGGAACGATCAACTTCTCCGAGATTCTCGATTGTCTCGAATATTTTTCCAGGACGCGTAGGCGTATAATTTTCGTCCCGAAGCGCGGCTCGCGCGTCATCAATCCTACTCTCGCGTCGACCCGCGGCACATATTTGGAAAATTGAACGGGAATAACGGAGGAAAGTGTGTCTTTTCCCTCGGTAGTTTCTCGGCTCTGATTAAAGGGAAGCAAGGCGGATAGCTCTCGGAGAGCATCGCGCCCGGAGATGATCCGCACAGAGTGCTGTCTGGTTCGCTCCGAATCGGTATCCCCGTTGCGAGTATTCGCGCGTCGCCGTCGGCTCGGCGAGAAACGTCTCGGAAAGAATGAATAGAGCCCGGGAATATCAGCTGCTCCATTTTTCGGCGTTGAATATTAATAAAACAGCCGGGACGAGCGAGCTTCAGCGGAACGGCGAATAAATGCGCGGGCTAACGAGGGTGTTGTCGAAAATATCGAGGTCGATGAAACGATTCCCGAGCGTTCCCGACGGGACCGCCGCGAAGACGCTAATTGACCCGCGCCGCGTATGTAAATCGCTGGATTGTAATTAAAGTTGCACCAGCCGTTTACGAAACGCCCGTCGGGGATGCTCTCATTATGTTTTCATAACGCGTGGGCGTCGCCACCGG